AATGTTGCCCTGGGGGCAGGTGGAAGCTAGCGAGTTACCGGAGATGACTTGAGATAAAATTTGGATGAATAATTGCATGGGGTGCAAAATTTGATTCGGGTGCTAGCTATTTATTTATATCATATGGGTATGATTGGCAAATGGACTTTACTGTGAAATATTATTGTGTGATTTTCACTGACAGTAGAGTGGTGACCTCTAGTGTGTTTAAAGTATATTGTTTGGTGTATTTATTACAGTGTTATTTTTTATCTGCTATGCATACCATCTTATGATATTGATTTGAAAACTGGCCTGAATTGATTTTCATTTCATAGTGTTCTCCTTGATTGTATAAATTTGAAACTTAAACTTTCCCTCCTAAGGAACTTGTCTCTTGCCTAGAGGTAAGATTGAATTTCACTAATGAGGCCCAAATGGAGAAATCATTAAAAATGGTTTGTTAAAGGTGTATGATAACTCTCAGTGTAGGCAGAGGTAATAGTAGAGATAGAGGAAATGCTATTGATAAGGGAATATCTAGCAAAATTCCCAAAAGAGATTAATGAACTCCCACTAGAATAAGAAACAAAAAGTGTGGTAGAAGTAGTGCCAAAAACAAGTTTAATTTAAAGGCTCCTTATTGCGCAACCATGATGAAACAGCTAAAAATGTAGTGGGCCCAATAGAAATAGGAGTCTATACTTTTGTAAGAAAACTGAATGATAATTTAAACCTCAAGTCATCATTGTATCCTCGAGAGAGGCAAGGTGAGAGGACAAAATGTTTGAGGTTTGTTAAATCCCTGAACAATGGTAGATATTCCTAAGGGATGGTAAGCCAAGAGGGACAAATGTTTAATGATACTGAACTTAGAATTAATAATAAGTTAGGTGCCTAACCTAGACACAACACAGCAAGGTGATTGAATATTTGATGTGTGATGTGATCAGTGTATAATGATCAATACCTAACCATGGCAATGATTGGTTAAAAGGTAAAGAAGGTTAGAAAGAGTAGAGTCAGGAAAGATCCTCTTGAGAATATAGCTGAATGGAAATAGATGAGAAATTAATAGTTAATGGATATATTGGAAACTGATGTGGTGAGAGATAAATAAGGTCTCATTGGCACCTAAAGCCTGAGGATGCTCGAATATCAATAATGTTGGGGACTATATGATATCCTTTAGTATCCCTAAACAATTATGAATATGCAACCATGGCAACCAGGATAGTGTGAAAACCAAGAGACGAAGTTCCTAATAGGGAATGCCACTACCTATGGAATTGAGGAGAATATCCTAACAGGGGATTGAATACAAGGAAAAGTCTTGGCCACAAAGTACCTCTTTGAAAGTGAACATGACCCTCTATCATTGAAATTATATTGCTCTCAGAAGAGTAAGACATTCTCAACAAGAATTACAATAAGTAGCCGAATGGAATTAATAGTAGTATATCCTCTATCGGTATTTTTGGTAATAATGATAGTGGGATATAGTTAAGTCAGGGTGTGAAACAAATCATACCCTAAGGAGAGTGAAATTGGTCAAGAGTAATGGGAAAGGTATTACGAGGCAAATACGTATAATTCCTCAAACTTAACAGGGCATTGTATTATGGTAATGAGTAAAGAGAATGTAATAATGGAAGCCCTGTCCCAATGTTATTGAGAGCTGAGAAGGTGATAATTGATGGTTACACTGGGAATTGGTTTATAGAAAGAGATAAGTAAGTTCCTGGTGGTGCTTAGATGTGCGATAACATTTGGGACTAGTGAGACCTTTATGTCCCTAAGGCATCAATAAGAAGTGCAATTATAGCACTCAGGCCAGTAAAAAAATGTAAGAGATGAGATTCGTATGAACAAATGTCATTGCCATAGTGATCAAACAAGTCAGGTAGAGAGATTTCCCAAATAGAATTTGACATGTAAGGATATGCCGGACAGAGATTAAGCAACTAGTAGGTTCTGGCCATAGGATATCTCTTAAATAAAGATGTGGCTCTCTGATGCAGAGTTGATGCCACTATACTAAGAGCGAGCTATTCTCTAAAAGAAAGGAAGGGAAATGGTTGCAATGGAGTTAACCTTAACCCAATGAGAGTGAATCTGACCAAAAGTGATAAAAAGATGGAATACTTGAGAAATGGAAAAGATGATTTTACAAGACCTCTCCCTGTAAGATGAGAAAGAAAATTGAAAGACATGGTAGACTGGCATGGATATGAGCCAATAGCCTAGAAAATTTTAGGGCATGATAAGAGGAAAATAGCCTGAGGTAGCTAAAAGTTAAGGTAAGAGGAAACGAAAGACCAGAAAGATGGATGACCCCGAAGTTGACAGAAAGATTTGAGTAAGGCCTAAGAAGGCCATATCAGTATCTGTGATCAGTCTTGGGGAATGATCAGTTAAGTCACTAACTGAGGATAGGTGAATTATTCTCTAACTCTAGTCCACTGGTCTAAAGGTTTCTAAAGAGTGGAACATGACTCGAACAGAATGGGAGAGCGGGGCAGCTCTCAAGGTCATAGCAAACCAAGCCCAAGGGAAGGTTAATGAGACATGAGGGTAGTATCTCTTTGGAGCGGGAGAATGAGATGACTAGGGATGAGTCTAAGATAGGGAAACCTCCTCAGGATTGGTTGCTTAGTATAGAGAGTATACCCTTGACTTTTTCACAAACACTGCTATTGTTGAATAGGCCGAGCTCAATTTGTTAGTGGCAGTCTTACCCAAGAGGGGAGTGAATTGGGTAAGTTATAAAAATTTTGTAAAATAAAAACCAATAAGCTAAACAAAAACAGAGAGCGTAAGTTAGAGTGATTTCATCGTAGAGAGTAGACACAGAATTTATACTGGTTTGGTCTCAACCACTTGACCTACATCCAGTCCTCAGAACACCTATGAGTATTTCACTAAGTTCCAAGATTAATTGGGCTTTTGGTGTCGCAGTACAACAATTGATTTGTTCAATCACTCCCCCTTACTACTCGTAAGGTTACAAATCCACTCAAGAGTCCACAATCTTGAGTTTCACTCAGAAAGTAATTAAAGATGATATGTAAAGCTCTCTTACAGGGTAAATGGATGAGAAATACTGAAGCCCAGTACAAATAAGAACAGAGTATTGAATGCAATAGTAAGTTATTTTCAGAAGGTAGCTCGCATATTCAATCTATGCATTCAATGCTTCTTCACATCTTTTATAGTTGAGGAAGTTTAATAGCTATTAGACGGAAGAGCTTCTAGCCCTTGAGAGTTTGGTTGCATGTTTTCCCAGTTGTAACGGTTTTCGCCATTAATGCTTCTGACATGGTAGGTTACAGGCTACTAAACAACTGTTGGATAACCGTTGAGTTCTTCTTCATAATTTGTAATAATACTTCAATCTAATAAGTTTTTCTTGTAGAGTAAAGCTTAGGAGCATAACTGATCAAATGATAAAAATGAACATTCATAGTTTGAAAGTGGAATCAATCAGTTGCTCAATGTATTGAACAAGAACCGGACATCCTTGATCGAAGTAATGATCGATGACTGGTTGATCGATCAAATTATCGATTAATCAAATAGAAAGAATTTGAAATAGGCAAGTTTATTTATCGATCAAGTTATGGATTAATAATTTATCGATCAAGTAATCAGTCAATAAAAAGGGTGACTTCAGAAAAACATGTAGAGAAAAAGCTCAAAGTCACTTTAGATTTTGAATCCCTTAAAATAGAGAATTAAGATAAACATGAAGGCTGAGAAAAGTTTGAAGGGAAATAATCAACATATTTTGAGAATCACGATAACTTGTTGATGTTTAACTAGAAAGAGTCAATGATCGATCAAGTGATCGAAAACTGCTTGATCGATTAAGCTATCGATAAAGTAAAGTGAGATAGAAATAATTTTCCAAGAATAATGATCGAGTACTTTATTGATAAATGAATGATAGAAAATTTGATCGATAAAAAAGATTTAACAAAGAGTTTTTCAAAGGGCACAAAACAAATGATGATCAATTAATGTTTCATTGAGTAAGTGATCGATAAAATATAATAGAGAGACTTAGTTCTGAAATGCGAGGGAAATGTTTGATTGATCACGTTATGTGAAAATAAGACATTCAGAAATATGGGTGATCAATCATTTCATTGATAATTAGATTATCGATCAGGTGATCAAAAAACATAACTCAAAAAGTAGAGAGAGTGAGATAGCAATGATCGATCATTTGATCGATAAATCACTAATCGATCAAGTGATTGATTAATCAACCAGATAACAACCTTGAATAGGGAGTGGGTTATTAAGCAATGTTCAATCATGGTATCAAAAAATCTCTGATCGATAAAGTGATTGATAAATGATGAAAGAAATAAAATATAACCAAAGTGAAAGAGCTTTACCATTTATCTATCTTCTTATCGATGACCTATTTATTGATCAAGTGATCGATGAATACTTACCAAAATTGTGTCCTATTATCTGATAGGTGTTCGATCATTAGATTATCGATAAATTGATTGATAATTATCGACAAACTTCTACACAAAACAGTATTAACGATGATCGATCAACACATACTAACTTGATTTATCCATCGGGTTATCGATTAACATTTATGCTAAGTTGCTCGTTTACACAGGGAATTTATTTGACAAGTGATCAATAAACCCTTGATCGATCAGGTGATCAATCAACTTACCAAAACACATATTACCCAATTTGTTATCATTAAAACCTTAAATCTAACATTCTCCCCTTTTTTAATGATGACAAAACACAGGTGTAAGATAAATCAGATTTTATCAGATAAAACTTAAACTAGATCAGGAATTCAATAGAATCATACAACAGATAACAATATTCACCAGTAAATGTCAAAAAATGGTAGAAATGCACAACTGATAACATTTAAATGCTATCAAAATTCAAATGATAACCCAGAATTCAGATTACATAACAAAAATATATGAAAAATAGAAATAACAAAAATCATCAAAGCTAAACAACTAGACAAACAACTAAACAGATTCCTTCTCCTCCTTTTTGTTAGTATCAGAAGGTAGGGAAGAAGTAGGCAAAGTAAGGGGAACAGAGAGAGGGGGAAACTGAGAAAGTGGAGAGATAGTCTGAGAAATGGGTGGAAGAGTTAGGGAAAGAGTAGGCTGGGGAACTATGATAATAGCTACGGTAGCAGGAGGAGGAGGAGGTGAGGTGGAAGGTATAGATAGTGAAGTAGAAATAAGAGAAGTGGGTCTAGGTGATGTAGGTGGTGCAGGCTCATGGTGAGGAGGAGATGGTGGGTGAGAGAGTAGGTCTTCAAAACTGAAGGAAGTACTAGGTGCAGACAAATTATTACAAAGAGAGGCTACCTTCCCTTTTAAATCTCGAATCTCCCTTTCAATATAGTCAAACCTCTGAGAAACTTCTTTTTCTAGAACTACCATGGCTTGACGATGAAGATCCAGAATTTTGGAAATGCCATCAAATTTTCTGTCTGAGACTTCCCCATAGTCTTTAGCTATCACATAAACTCTCCTCTCAAATTCTTAAGGCTCTGCCTGGAATATTTCCTTGATTGATTTTCCCAGAAATGAGGGTCCAGAGGTATGAGAGGGTTTTGCAGAAGATTCAGCTTCATCTTAGCCCTTTGAAGCACTAATCATTGGATGTTTTCCTTTCTCTTTTCTTGCCAACTTCTGTGAAGACTGAAAGGGCACTGGAATCTTTATCTTATTGAGCTGGTTAATTCCAAATGCAGGAATCTTTACTTTAACTTCTTCAGGCTTGAATAGTGTAATGTTGTTTACTTGGAGAAAGTATGTGGCTAGCTGAGGATAGGGGATGGGTGTGGATTTAGATTTATTGATGGTAAAATCCTTCATCTTACTGTAGATCAAGGCTCTAATATTGATCTACTCCCCACTGATTATCCTAGCTAACAAAAGGTAGTCATCTTGATTGAGGTAGGAGAAGCTTCTAGATTTATTGACCATGCTTCTTGAATAGATGCAGTGAATTATTCTGTAATAATCACACATCTGTCTAGGTGGGAAGTTCAGCTCTCCTAGGTAACTATCACTCTGCATCGAAAACTTATATGCTTTTATGTCATTCATATCCCCTCCTCTGACAGATTCAGGATTTCCCAGTAGCTCATTTATCTTGGCAGAAGTGAGGGTAATGGTTCTGCCTCTGAGTCGTGTTGTGAGATAATTATTCATCAAATTATCTTCATCATCATACTCTTTCACAAATTTCATATTACAGTAAAATCTCTTAACCACTTCAGGGCAATATTCATCGCCAATACTTAGCCAGTTAGAATAGTGTTCTAGAGGGTTACTGAAATCTAATATGATTTTCTCATTCTTTTTCAAACTATCCAAATCTACTGAGACCACAGGATAAAAATTCTGAGTTGCAAAATCAGCTTTGAATCTTAACATGTTTACATCTTAATTTAGGCTTCCAATTAAGAATTCAGATGCTTCGGAAGGTATACCTTGGCCAGACGATTGTTGAGACACACCCTCTCTGGTTTTTTGTTTCTTGTGATGTGGTTGTTTTGGAATAAGAACATGTAGTGAAGCCTCCACAGCTTTCTAAACTGAAGCTTCATTATCTGATTCTGTTTCAGATTCCTCGGTCACAACTGGTAGCTTGTACTTTGAGCGAGGAGACCATCTCTGTGGTGTTGATTGCTCAGTTTCTTCGACTTGGCTTTCTCTGATTTTTAGCACCCCCTTTTTCTTCAAAGGCTTTTGCCTTACTTTGGATCTATACCTCTTTTTTGTTGTAGGGGTAGCAATTTCGTTGGATTGAGTTTGCTTTTTTGTTTGCTCTTCCCGGTCACTTCCAAGTTATTTAACTCTCACCATTCTTATTGTACTGAAGGATTCTGAGGATTTGATCAGTGAAAAGAGTGTTTGAAGGGTGCAGTGGAGAAGGAGGATGCTTCAGGAGTGATTTCGAGTGGAAAGGGAACAACAATTTAATAGAATAGTGAGTTTTGGATTGTTGTGTAGGAACAGGGGAATGGTTTATCGAGTTAGGGCTGCAATAATTGACAGGGGATTTTTCAAAAATTGAACGTTATAAACACTAAAATTATCGATCAATAAATGATCGATCACTTGTTCGATAAATATGAAGAATACACAAGAACACTGAAGACAATTATCGATCAAGTTATCGAGCAATGAATTATCAATCACGTTATCGATAAAAGTTAATGAGAGAAATGCATACCTGGTCTGGTTTATTGATCATTTGATCGATTAACAATTTATCGATCAGCTTATCGATAATTCTTACCATTTGACTCTGAAATCCTCATTGCTCTTGATCAATGTTTTGATCGATAATTGACTTATCGATCAGCTTATCGATAACATTCCTTCCAACTTCGTTCTTTTGCTCCATATACCTTATTTATCGATCAGTTGATGGATAAATCAATCCTTACTTGCATTATGATTATTGATGTCCTCATCGATCATTCTATACTCTGTTTTTCCTTGATAAAACAGAGCTTCCTGTAAAACAAATTTCTATAGACTCTAATGCTTAAGTTAGTCTTTTAATCATTAAAACATTAAATCTAAAGACTCAAATTAGAGAGATAATATGAGATTTCTTACAGCTCATTTGGATTTACCATTCCCAATTCTCTTATGAAGTACTTGAACTTCTGTTGATCAAGAGGCTTCATGAAAATGTTTGCTATTTGATATTCAGTGGGGATGAATTCTACTTTTACATCTTTCTTTTGAACATGATCCTGAATGAAATGATGTCAAACGTCAATGTGCTTAGATCGAGCATGATGAACTGGATTCTTGGACAGACTTATTGTACTCGTGTTGTCACACAGAATTGGAATCTCTCTTAGGTTGATTCCTAAATCTTGTAGTTGTTGTTTTAATCATAGAATCTGAGCACAACAGCTGGCAGTGGCAACATATTCTAATTATGTGGAGGAAATTGCCATAATATTCTGCTTTTTACTTGACCATGAGACAAGGCATCCTCTGAGGAATTGACATTGACCACTGGTACTCTTTCTGTCTGTCTTATAACCTCCATGATCTGCATCTGAGTATCCTATTAGATATCTGAGGATTCTCTTGACGGTTCTTCATGTGATTCCTTAGGGCCTGATTGATATCTTGTGCATATTCTCATACTGAATTGAATATCTGGTCTACTTGCCATGAGATAGAGTAATGACCCAATCATTCCTCTATACTTGGTTAGATTCACGTCCTTGCCCTTCTTGTCTGTGTCTAGTGAAATAGTTGAGCTCATAGGAGTTTTTACACTTTTGGCATTTTCTAATCCATATTTCTTTAATAATTCCTTAAGATACTTTGTCTAGGATATGAATATGCCATTTTTCTTTTGCTTGATTTGCAATCCCAGAAAGAAGTTCAGTTCTCCCATCATCAACATTTCGAACTCACCCTGCATTAACTTGGCAACCTCTTGACAGAGATCCTCATTAATAGCTCTGAATATAATATCATCCACATAAATTTAAACAATCAAAAAGTTCCTTTCTAGTTCTTTTAATGAAAAGTGTAGCATCTACTTTGCCTCTTTTAAAACATTTTTCTATCAGAAAATTGCCAAGGCGTTCGTACCAAGCTCTTGGAGCTTATTTTAAACCATATAAAGCCTTTTTTCAGTTTGTAAACATGATCTGGGAAGTTTGAGTCTCTGAAACTAGGAGGCTATTTGATAAAAACTTCTTCTAAAATATAACCTTTCAAAAATGTACTTTTAACATCCATTTGATATAATTTGACATCTTTTATGCAAGCGAAGGCTAAGAGTACTCGTATGGCCTCCAACCTAGCTACTGGAGCATATGTTTTCTCATAATCAATTCTTTCTTCTTGATTATAGCCTTTAGCTACTAGTCTGGCTTTGTTTTTGACGATTTGTGTGGATTCATCGAGCTTATTCTTGAATACCCATTTGGTGCCTATGACTAGATGGTCATTAGGTCTGGGTACCAATTCCCAAACTTGATTTCTTTCAAATTGGTTTAGCTCTTCCTGCATTGCAACTATCTAGAATTCATCTGATAGAGCCTCGTCAATATTGGTTGGTTCAATATGTGAGATGAATGAGAGAAGCACACTTTATTGAACACTTGTCTCCGGGTTTTGATCCCTTCATTGACTTCACCAATGACTTGCTCCAGAGGATGGTTTCTATTATGCCTCCAAGCCTTAGGCTATTCTAAGTTTTCTTGTGAAAGAGGTTCATTTGGATCATCTTTATTTTCTAAACATTCTTCTGAAAGTACTTTATTTGAAGAGTTGTTTAAATTCAATTTTTGAAAATTTTGAACGATCTCAGCATCATCATCTAGAGGTTTTGAAATCAACTCAGTTTCAGCAAACACGACAAGTATTGACTCTTCAATTGTGAAAGTGCACTTATTGAAAACTCTATAAGCTTTACTGCGATTAGAGTAACTGAGAAATAAACCTTCATCAGCTTTAAGATCAAATTTACTGAGATTCTCTTTGTTGTTGTTGTGAATGTAGCACTTACTCCCAAAGATCTTCAGATGAGCCAGGTTAGGCTTTCTTCCTTTATATAGCTCATATGGAGTTTTCTCGAGCAATGTTCTGATGTAAGCTCTATCGAAGATGTAGCAAGCCATGCTCATTGGTTCGGCCCTGAACACTTGTGAAATCCCTTTCTTATTCAGCATTGCTCTTGCTATTTCCATGAGCACTCTGCTCTTTCATTAAACAACTCCATTTTGTTGAGGAGTTCTTGGTGCTGAGAAGTTGTGATCAATCCTATGCTCATCACAGTAGTCCGCAAATTCGTTGTTCTCGAATTCTCCTCGGTGATCAGATCTAATTGACACAATAGAAATACCTGTCTCATTTTGGACCTTTCTGGCAAAAACAATGAATGTATTAAACGTCTCATCTTTAGAGGAAAGAAACAGAGTCCAAGTGAATCTCGAATAGTCATCAGCTATCACAAGAGTATACAGATTTCCACTAAAACTTTTGACTCTTAATGGACCGACCAAATCCATATAAAGCATTTGGAGTGGCCTTTCAGTTGAGACTGTCTTCTTTGATTTAAACAAGGACTTTGTTTATTTACCCTTCTAACAAGCATCACAAATAATATCATGTTCATACTGAATTTTCGGTAAACCAATAACCAAGTCCCTCTTTATTAATTTTGAAAGCTGATTCATGTTAACATGTGCAAAACGTTTAAGCCAAACCCAACTTTCATCCTTTTTGCTAATAAAACAGTTTTCAGAAAGTTTTGAATCAATTTGAAGACTATAACAATTACCGTCCCTTAGAGCTCTCAGCTTTACATTCAATTCTTCCTTCTTTAGTGGTAAGTCATCTTTGCTTATTACTAAGCATTCCTCTGAATCGAAGATCACCCAGTTGTT